CCCTCACCAGCACTGACCCTGCCGGGACGTAGAGCTCAGCCTTCCAGACTCCAAAACCGTGAGAGATAAATCCTGTTGCTTAAGCCACCTGGTCTGTGGAATTCTGTTGCATCAGCCCAGGTGTCTAAGACAGCACCTATGAACATGTCAATCTCCTTTGAAAAGTCGCTACATGATGTGATGCATTAGACTGTTGGCCAGAGGTGAACTTTAGGGACATCAGTGGGACCATGACAGCCTGGGCTGGGCCATCAAGTGGGGCTCTGAGGTCCTGACATGACTAAATGACATCCAACCTACACCTGTCACATCTCAGTTTCCCATTTTGTTGGCTGTGTGGTTTGAGCTGAGTTGCTCAAACTCTCCTAGCCTCTGTCTCCGTGTCTATGAAATGACAGTGCTCACATGTGCCTGACAGACACTCCTGAGAGGATATGTGTGACATGTCTGCCACCTTCAAGGGGTTCCAGCCTCCTATCTCCTCTTCCCTCTTCTACATGCAAAATAATTTCATTTCTAATAAGGCAGGAAAGCAAGCCAAGGCAGACATGAGTGAGCTTCCCAAGAAGCAGTGCCTGACTCCTAAGTGCACTACACCCCCATCCCCGAACACAGCCTCGGTCCCCATGTGCCTTGGTGTCCTAGGGGCGGCAGGAAGACGAAGGAGATAGCACATGCTGACCTGGGGCTGACATGTCCAAGGAGTGCGGGCAAGTACGTTATTGTCACTGCTGTGGCTCAGCATGGGGCACTCTTCAATCCAGAACATTCTGGGTAGTCAGGCCAGAATGTGAGAGGAGTAAAAGAGACCTAGAGACTACCACAAGACGTGTGGCTGTCCAGTCTGAGGCAACAGCACAGATAACCAGGGCTCCAAACACAGGCAGCGCTCCCACAGCTCTCTCCCACTGGGTCTTGCGTTTCTGCCTTATTTCCGCAACAACCTGGCAGTTCTCCAGAGCAGGACTACATCATGCCTTCCTGGAGGCCCGCCCACACTCGCCACAGTCACTCACAGGTGTGGCACGTGCTTGCAAAAGACCCATGCATGGCCTGCGGGGAGGGATCAGGGTCCTGCACCCAAGACTGGACATAGGGTATGCTGGCCAGGCCAGGTTCTGATGGCTAGACCATAAGATGGCTGAGACCCCAGGCATGGCTTCACAGGACAGGAGGGTCCCCACCCTGCCTCAGATGCAACCTGGCTCAGAGGAGCCCCTGGAGGTCACACGTGCATTCTGCAGCCCAGACAGGACAGAGGCAGGACACCAGCTCACATGAGCAGCACAGCACCAATGCTGCCACATGTCCTGAGACTCACAACAGCCCCGGGGCTCAGCAAGACTATTGTCTCAGACAGCAGACTAGACCACTGAGTAGCAGAGAAGTGTGAGTAACTGGCCACATTGACACCAGGGTGAGCGGGTCACAATTCTTACCCTGGACTGAATGCTTCCACACCATCCCTCAGCCACCAGATCAGGGATGCAGATGACCCATGGCTGAGAGGGTCACTTCAGTATCCCTCCAAGGGCCAGAGCATCCCTGAGGCTATGTGCTCTATAATCTGTAAATGGCTCAGTTAAGCACCAACCACCTAAGAATGCCAGTATTTGCAGGGGTCTTTGGACACCAGCAGCAGCTGAACTTCCCAGGTGGGGGGACCTACATCCTGAGTCAAAGTTGGGTCAGTAGTTGACTGTGTGGGCTCCAAGATCTTCTAGCACCTTTTGGAGATCCAGAATGTGTAAGCTTGTTTCAAATGTACTGTCCTCTCTCTCTCTCTCTCTCTCTCTCTCTCTCTCTCTCTCTCTCTCTCTCTCTCAAGGCTACTGGCTGCCCATGGCCACAGGTTGGGGGAAATGATGTCAGAGACCAGCATCTGTTAGGTCTCATAATTGGTGTGGAAGTGACATCAAGTGCTTCTTTTAGACAATCTGCACATTATTAGGCTCATGTTCAGATCATCTCATCAGCAGACATTACCCTCAGTCAATTCGCCCCTCCCCCTCCATTTCCACAGAGCACACTGTGCCCTCAAAGGAGGACTAGGGCTGGGCCTCACTTCCCTGCCACAGAGATGGAAGGCCTGACGCTGTACCAGGCACTCTGCCATGGCAGAGAAGACTGAGGCCTCCAGGGACCCAGGACAACCCAACTTCAACTCCATGGTCCTGAAAGATAAGCTTGAAATACATTTCATAGACCCATATTTTTAAAACATTTCCCTCTTAGGAGCTCTGAGCACATTATGAAAGTATATTCTGTTTATTTACACTATTACATAAAAGAGACATAGCACACAACAATGAAAAGAAGTCACACAGTTATCTTTGTGAGTCATGTTCTCACCTCTAGTGGCTGTCCCTGGGTCTCCTGCGTCCGGCAGAGCAGAAGCTGCACAGCACTCTCAAGGGTGGCCCGGCTAACGTTTCCATATTTCTGTCCCATTCCCCACATCCAGTCCCTCTGGCTGCCCAACCTCACCCCATCGTCTGAATGCACATGTGATCTCACGTCTCCCTGCCTTGTGCTCACAATTCCCTCCACCTGGGATGCTGTCTCCTCCTGGGAAATTCCTCATTCCTCCAAGAGCTAACTTGAACATCACCTCTTCAGAGAAGCCTTTGCAAATCCCCTAATGTGGTGGTCCTCAAGTTTCTGTGCACACCAGAGTGCTCCGGGGGGCTGTTTATAACCCAGATTGGTGCTCCCACCCTTGGGTCTCTGTTTCAGGAGATTGGGTGGACCCTGAGAATCTGCATCCAACAAGTTCCTAGGGGATGCAGATGCCACAATTGAAACAGAACTGTGCTCTTGAGCCCCAAGTGCCCTCACCACACTGCCCACACCCAGTGACACATTTCCACTCAAGACACACTCCTCAAGGACAGAGGCTGAATCTTATTCATTGTCTATACTTCCAAATCCCAGCATATAGACAGTATTCAATATGTGATTATTAAATGAATAGATGAGTGAATGGATGATAAAAGGATGGATAAATGGATCGGAAGGTGGGTGGATGGATGGATGGATGGTAGATGGAAGGATGAATGGAGAAATGAATGTATGGATGGTGGATGGATAGATGGATAGATAAATGGATGGATGGATAAATGGATGAGTGGATGGACAGATGGATGGATGAATGAATGAAAGGTAGATGGATGGATGAATAAATGAGTAGAGGAATAAATAGATGGGTGGATAAATGTACAGATGGGAGATGGATGAATGAATCTTGGATGGATAAATGGATAGATAGGTGAATGGATGGATGATGGTGGATGGATGAGTGGATGGATAGGTGGATGGATGGATGGGTGGAGGGATGACTAGAAAAATGTATGAGTAGGTGGATGAGTAGATGAATGGATGGATGGATGGATGGTAGATGGGTGGATGAATAAATGGGTAGATGAATGAATGGATGGACGGATGACGGATGGTAGATGGATGGATGAATAAACGATTGGTAAGTAGGTAGGTCAATGAATGGGTAAATGGGATGGATGGATATATGGATGGGTAAGTAGGTGGGTGGATGGATGGATGAGTGAAATGGATGGATGGATGAGTGTCCACATGTCCATCAGGCACATGTGAGTGCTGTCATTTCACAGACAAGGAGACAGAGGCACTAAAAGCCCTGGTGGGTCAAAGAAGACACTGAGAGCCCTAGAGGGCCAGTGAGGAAGGCATCAGAGCCCTAGAAAGTCAATGAAGAAGGCACTGAGAGCCCTGGTGGGCCAATGAAGAGGGTACCACAAGCACTGGCAGGTCAATGAAGAGGGCACCATGAGCCCAAGCAGGCCAATGAAGAAGGCACCATTAGAAGAGGAGCATGGGGTGGGGGAGGGGAGTCACTTACCAACCCAGAGAACAGCCTTGGCCCCAAGTGTGTTAATTATTTCAAATATGAGGCTAGGTGATGTCCACTGACCAAGTTGATAGGCTGACATGCACCCTTCAGACTTATACTCTGATCCTTTCACTGTGTCAAGCTGTTCCCTCTAAGAACACCTACCACCAAGTCTTGTGGATGAAATGAAACCCTTCCACACACATTCACCAAGAGATCTCGGCACAGTCACATGCTGAAGCAGACATGGAAGACGGTCATCCTGGCCCACCGTGAGGCTTCTGCAGGCCCAGTGACCCTAGGGACGCTCCAGTGGGAAGGCAAGTAGTAATGCTAGGACTTTTATTCCCCAAGTCGAAACTGGAAGTTGAGGCATGGAAAATAAAGGACAGAAATGGAAACCCCGACCTTCAGGGTCATGTCGGGGCTCCAGAGTCCAGCAGCCAGATAACAGACCCCAAATGTGCCGTCTGAGGGCTCAGACAAAGAGTATGAGGTACCCAGGCAGAGTTCCTGAGATAGGAGCCCTGGGCGAGGATCACAGGCCCCAGAGCAAATCCATGGTTCTAAACATGAATGCTCTAGGCTCTCCATGGCCAAGCAGATGCTTGGAAAGTCTCTCTGAACTGACACACCTCAGGTCCAGCCTGAAACCAACATGCCAAGCAATAGCCCAGGAACCAACACACCCCAGGGATAGCTCAGGAACTGACATACCCAGGGATAGCCCAGGAACCAACACACTCAGGGATATTCCAGGAACCGAAATGCCTGGGGGGGGCCCGCCCAGGAACTGACATACCCCAGAGATGGCCCAGAAATCAACACACCCAGAGATGGCCCAGGAACCTACATATCCCAGGACCAGCCTAGGAACTGACATGCCTCAGGGCAGCTTGGCACTGGTCAGCAGTTGTGAGAGGGTCTCTGGAGCTGAGGGGACAGTGCAGGATTGTACTCGGCAGCCGGTAGAGGGCTTCCCCTCCTCCCACTCACGCCTTCCTCGGTGAGTGGGGATGCATGTGTGAACCCTGCCTGGTGCCCAGGCCAGTCCGCCGAGACATGGAAGCCTGCCCACAATGACACCAAGAGATGGCAGATGGGAAGGACGCCTGACAGGCCCGCAGCCACTCACGTCTGTGATTCTCGTTCCTGTGGTTGGGGGGCGACCGCGTCTCCTGATCCTGGGCCTCGTCCCCCTCCTCGCTGGCCAGGTGGGTGTGTGCGTAGTGGTAGCTGAGGCCCGGTCGGTTCTTGTACCGCTTGCCACAGACTGCAAGGAGAGGAGCACAGGGAGCAAGTGTCAGCAAACTCTGCCACACAGCCACCATCCTCCACCCCAGGACAAGGCCTCCTCACACAGCCTCCACCCCACACCTCTGCCACATGGCTACTGTCCTCCACCCCAGACCCCTGCCTCCACTCCACAGAACCAACACCCTTAAAACAGAATGGCTCCTGGAAAGCAAAACCTTGAAGACAGAGCATGGAGGTTAGGAGACACAGAGCTTCTGCCGTTTCCCAGCTGTGAGACTTGGCATACCAGTCCATCTCACTGTGCCTCAGTGTCTTCAGAGAGAAAGCCACAGAATGTTGTGATAAGTCCATTTCTATGCAGGGCCCTTTGGACAGTGTTGGTGCATGGTAAGGATCACCGTTCAAATGACTGAATCCCAAGGACTGGAGTCCGCCCACCCTACACCCTTAGCACCAGTAAGGCACACGAGGCCCAGCTACACCAGGTGAGTTGCCTGGGAACACACAGCCGGTATGGTACAACCACAAGACTGTACACTTCCTGGGTTCCCCAGGGTCCCTTCACATGCCGTGGCCGACATGCTGAAGCAGAGAGGTTTTACACAGCGAATGTGTGACACGTCACCCTGCAATTCTATACCCGAGAAACGCATGCCACGCTCATGTGAGTACCAAGAAGCCAAGGCACCCAATGGCCCAGACCTGTGACAGCATGATCTCTGGGTTGAATGAGCAAGCTGGCTCTGGAAGCCTAGGAGGAGGGAAGCATCACTGACCAGCCTAGGCCATACAGCCACCTCAGCCTCCCCCTCACACCCCTGCAGAGTTCCATCTCCACCCCCTGCTGGGGGCAGAAGCCTAGGGGGTCTTCATGTACACTCAGGCAGGACAAACCACCCCGCCCTGCAGGACCTAAGAACCTCCTTCCATGAATTCACATGGCCAAGTCACACCAGCATGTGCCATGAACACCTCGCAAGTAGGAGGGGCACAAGCCTCAGTCCCAGACAGGCCAATCCAGCTCCTGAGGCCCAATCCCTGGCTGTGACCCCAAGAGTATGCAAGAGCCACTGCCCAGCCATCAGCCCCCATGCCTGTTACTTTGGGAGGGGCTTCTTCTCCTGCATTCTCTTGGGGATTTGGGGAGACAAACATTGGCAAAAATGATGCTGTCTCTTCTTTCCCACGTTTATATAAACTATTTTATCTTGGCTTAACTCGCCCGTAAGAATCATCAGGACTCGATGTTAAAATGGCAAAAGCGAGTGTTTCCTGTTTCAGAGAAGTCGGCTTCGTGTTTTGTTGTTGGGAACGAAGTTTGGGGCTAATGTTGAGTCTTCCCTGCATGTAAGCAGCCCCTCCTGTTCCAGTTTTGGCTTTCCTGAGGGAGGACTTCACCAGCTGCCCTTCAGCATCTGCTAACACAGCCGAGTCTGTGCATCACAGTGGTGTGGGTGTCCTAACAGTTCCTGGGACTGCCATCCTCACGTCCCTGGAATGTGCTCACCTGGTCAGGGCACATTATTCACTTGCTACCCCCACTGCACTTTCTAGTACTGTGTTTTGCAGCTACTTGGACTTGAGACAGAGCTAAAACTTGGAACTATCTTTTATCCAGTTTCAATCTTATGGTCACATTGACATCTACACATGAATGGAAGAGTTTTGCTGCTGCGTGAAATCAGACAAGGTGTCTCTCTCTGCACCTTCTCCCTCATCTGAAAATGAGGATAACAGCATTGACCCCAAAGGATGGGGAAGGGTTATAGACAGAGTCTATAAACATCTCGCTCAGTGCCCAGCACAAAGTGGGTGCTCAGTAAGTGCTGGGGGGTGCTGGGAGGGGCAAGGAGTGCCAGTTTTTTCGTCACATCTTAGGTACTGGATCGTCCTGAGTAAGGAACTTGGACCCTTCCTCATAGTATGGAATCGCACTCGGTTGGACTTCCTTGAGAAGGTGAGATGAGGGTCTGAAATTCAAGTTGGTGACCTAAGGACTATAAGTTCAAGGTCTACAACTGGCGACTACATTCATGTATCCTCTCTCACCCTCTCCCCCACCCCATTTCTCCTCTCTCTCCCTCTCTCTCTCCCCCTCCCTCTTCCTTCCTCTCTCTCTCCTTCTCCCTCTCCCTTTCTCCTTCTTCCTTTCTGTCATCCTCTCTCTCTCCTCCACTCTCTCTCCCTCTCTCTCCCCCTTCCCTCTTTCTCTCCCTTTCCCTCCTATCTTTCCCTGTCTTTCTCTTCCTCTCTCTCACCCTCTCTCTCTCTTCTTCTCTCTCTTCCCCTCTCTCTCCTTCTCCCTCTCTCACCCTCTATTCCTCTCTCTCCCTCTCTCCCCCTTCTCTCTGTCCCTCTCACTCCCTCCTTCCTTCCCTCTCTCTCTTTCTCCTTTCACTCCCTCTCTCTCTTTCTCCCTCCCTCTCCTTCTCTCCCTCTCCTTCCCTCCCTCCCTTTCTCCCTCCCTCCCACTCTCTATCCCTCCTTCTCTCCCTACTCCCCTCCCTATCTCTCCTTCCCTCCCTCTCTCTCCATCCCTCTCTCTGTCCCTCTTTCCCTCCCTCTCTCTTCTCCCTCCCTCCCTCTCTCTTTCTATCCGTCTCTCCTTCCCTCCTTCCCTGCTTCTCCCTCCCTCCTTCCCTCTCTCTCTGTCCCTCTCTCTCCCTTTCTTCCTTTTTCTTTCCCCTCCCACCCTCCCTCCCTCTCTGTCTGTCCCTCTCTCTCTCTCTCTCCCTCTCTTCTTCTCTCTTTCTCCCTCCCTCCCTCTCTCTCTCTCTCTCTTTCTCCCTCTTCCCCCTGCCCCCCACAGATACTGCAGAACCTTAGACTAAAATGTCACTACGCATCTCAATTCCATGCGATTTGGGAAGCAGGACCCAAAGAGGCCCCTGCAGTGCCCTCTGGCCTGAGTGTGGCTTTTTCGATTTAGCCTTTTAGATGATTTGAGGTTAATGAGCAGCAGATTATGGGATCATTGGACATAAGTCCATTTAGTCACCAAACAGACTGCTGGTGAGGAGCAAACATTTACTAAGGGAAGTGGTAATGCCACCAGCACACACAGAGCCTCCATGGCCTCTGGTCCACCCACAGCGCCTCTCTCAGGCCAGCACCACTGTGTTCCTTGACCACAGAACTTCAGGATCTGGATGGTCCCTCAGTCTACCCATCTGTAGAACTGTCTTATTCCCATGAATACTCTAAAAGCCTACTCTGATGGGGGATTCATTACCTATCAGGGTAGGCATCTCTCCTCAGCCTGCCCTGGAGGCTCTCTCTAACCACAGCTTCACACAACCTCCTCTTGACACCAACAAACCCCCTTACAAGCTGCCACGCACACATCCACCTTCAAGATGCACTTGCTGAGTGGTGATGAGTGGTTCAGAGTCGCCCTGTGGGAATCCAGGAGATGGACAAGGCTGGCTTAGGGAATCTGATCATCCACCCACGTTAAATTCAGACTGCCTGTACTTAAGTCTGCAAAAGCAAACCTAAGCCAAAACTCCTGTCTTCCTCCCCAGCGCCACAGAGAGTAAAATGTTTACAGCAAACCCTTTGGTTAGGATAGAGACTCCAAGGGTGGTCCTGGGAGCAGTACCGCCTCTGGGAACTCCCAGAGCACCCGTCCTCAGGTTCCACTTAGACCTGCAGGATTGGAAATGCTGGGGCCAGGCAGGACCCATGTGTGAATCCCCTCAGTGATTCTGACATGCTCTCAAGTCTGAGAACCACCATGCTAGAAGGAGTTAACGCCACCCACCCTACACCTACTGCCCTCCTGGATGGACGGACAAAGCAGATGGGCAGCCTTGAGGTCTGAGCTTGGTTACAGAAAGAATCAGAACCAGGTAGAACACAGAACTTCCTGAAGCCAGATTCTGTATGAAGAGCCTGGGGATGAGGAGTTGCATGTGTGACTGCCTCCCTCTGCCTGTCACCCTTCCTCACCAGCTCTTTCATTCAAGAGGCATTTATTAGACACCCACCCAGTAGGCATCAGGAGGACAGAGATCCACAAGCTGACCTGCTCTGTGGAGGAGTGCAGATGTAGACAGTGAGGGGTGGGTTGGGTACAATGGTAGGCACAGCCAAGTAGGGGGCTGTGGGTAGGCACAGCCCAGTAGGGGGCTGACTTCCCCAGCAAGCAACCCTGAGACCCCACCTGAGACAACCTTGACCTTGACCTTGGTAGTCATCCGTCCAGTTTCATCCATGGCTCTGGCCTTGCTTCTGGGTCAGCCCTGCCCCCAGAGAGGCAGCATCCACAGTGGTGAGCAGACGGGCCAGTTCTGAACTTCTCAGGTTCAGTTCCCAGCTCTGCTAGTGACTGTGTGATCTCAGACAAGTTGCTGAACCTCTCTGTGCCTCAGCATCCGCCTCGGAAAATGGGGTGATCGTGACAGCACCAGTCACAGCAGGAAGAGCCAGTTGAAGGAGCGCCATGCAAGAGAGCCCCAGGAGGGAGTGTCACATGAGGAAGCATGTCTGAGACAGGTCCAGCACATAGAGGTCTCAGGTATGCTCAGCACCACCATCACCACGGCCAGTCGTGCAGACAGCAAAGAAGCCCAAGAGATATGTCTAACCACTTCCCCACTGAAGTCTGGGTAGCAGAATGGCAGGGACAGAGGGTGGCAAAGAACATGCTGAGATGTGTGTGGGGCCATCTGCGGTCCTTCCGTCCGGCGGCAGCCTCACTCTGGGAGCTGGGCCGACCGACCGCTATGGCTGCAGGGCCTGTGCCCACCTTCTATCCGGCCTCCCCGGGGCTCTGTGCCTCATGTCCCCATGAAGCCCCCACCAACCAGCCACCCACCTGTGCACAGCTTTGTCCTTCCTGTCACCTTGGCAGGCGTACCTGGACTCTGTGCTCCCCGCAGGCAGTGATGCGGAGGCAGGCAGCTCCCTCCTTCCCAGGCCAGGCCATCTGTCGACTGCCACGTGGCTACGTCCACCACTCCCACCCAGAGTGCCCATCCAAAGGTACGGAGGCCTTAGGCGCTGTCCCACATG